TCTTGGACCCTTTATGAATATTTGAGTTTGTGTCTTTGCTTTAAGCAAAATAGAAGCAAGCCCACATTTTGTCATCAAACAATTACCCTCTTGTCCGATACTCTGCAAACTCAGAGCCTAAAAGAGACGGAGGAAGAGCCAAGATAGGTGAACGCCTTGAATTTCAAGTGGGAAAAAGCCATTGTGTTCTGGAAAGCTGGAGCAGTAAGGGAGATTACCAAGCTGGATCTTTCAGAGAATTCGAAGAAGAAAAGCGGGCCAATAAGAACCAAAGTTTCTCAGTCATATACAAGACCCAAAGCCAAATCTGCTCCTTTTATTATTTTTTTTGTGGTAGAATTATCATTCTGAGAGTTAAAGGTAATTGATATGGTGAATCTGTATTACAAAGAGGTATTTTGATAGTTCTTTTAGAACTTCTATGGGCATGATAGAGAGGGGGTAAATGCCTTATAGATAGATGGTTTATTGTTGGTTGGGCAATAATGCCAAAGATGATCTAAAATGTCCTTGTCAACCTAGCAAGTGACTTCTAGAGCTGAGTGCACTCTTTCGGCCTTGGAAAAGTAACAACATTACCCAAGTTTCCTCTTTCTCACCTTCACCTGCTTGTACCAAACCTACCAGCTTCTTCCCACCAGATCCATAGATGCCTATACCATCTTATTGCAAATCCCTGTGGCCTCCCTGGTGATATGAGCCGTGATCACTGGACTCTTTTCCTCTGTCATTCAGTTGAGTCAAATATCTTATTTTTAACAGGCAGATTAAGAGGTGGCAAAAGATAGGAACAGTGTTTTATAAAGCAACACTTTCTTAGCCTGAGGAAGGCCAGGTTTGCTCATGCTTGGCTCATGTACTACACCATGTATACATCTCCCTTTCATTTCCCTCGTTATCTGGGTTGGGCGGTAGGGAAGCTTTGTGTTCTTTTCCAGCCTGAAGAAGGAGCCCCTTGGTTAATTGCCATGCTGGGGCCCATACTCTGTGTTAGAACCCGCTCCTGTATCTCAGCTCTGTAATAACACCTTCTGTCTCCAGGTTGTTTGGGATTCTTCTTTCTGGAATGTGCAACCTTCCTCTAGGAAATCTTCACCGTGACTCTTACACTTCTTGCCATTCTTGGCAGGCTTTGTAGCTCCGGGCCTTTGTGAGGTCTACCCTCACTGATTTGGTTTGCTTTACCCACAACAGAGTCATGGGCTGAGGTAAGGAGAGTTATCCTGGTATAAAACTTGGTTTCATTTAAGCCAGCAGGTGGGTTTCACACTCTGTGGTTGCATTGACCCCCATCGTCTTCATGAGCCTTTCTGTCTCAGGGTAACTTCTGCCCCGATAGACTGGGCCCTATTCACATGTGTGATATTTTTCTATAATAGCTTCCTTCAAATTGTACCACAGAGAGATCTTCTGGAGTCCCATCACCTCAATATACCTGAGAAATAGTTGACATGTATTATATAACATATACCATGCATCAGCACCTCTTGTGTGCATACGTGTCTATAAATATGCATTTGGGGTGCATGTGTATGCTCACGGAGACCAGAGGTCATCAAAGTGATACACATATCACCATGCTATATTTTTACATGGCTTCTGGGGATTGAACTCAGTTTCTCCTGCTTGCATGGCATATGCTTTGCTGACTGAGCTCTTACCTCAGCCCTGGAGAGATGCTTTTCAGATGTAGAGATGGTATGAGATTGGGGCTGGAAAACAAATGTTTTGGAAGCCAAATCTGGAGTCTGAAAGATTTCAGCAGCTGGGCATGACTCGCTGGGATGAGTCGGATAGAATTTAAAATACGATTCCTACCTAAAACATAGGTATCTTTAAGCTCAGGCCATGGATCCCTTCCTCAGTTCATGGTAGTTAGGGATGGAATTTGAGAGTTGGAGATTTTATTAGACTGGGAAAGAGCACCGTGGCTGGAGTGCAATGGGGCTATTCATTCTCAGTCATGCTAGAAGCAGTTACGTCCACACTAAACCGAGCAACCCAAGCCCAAGGCGTGAGCCCTGCTGGACTGTGGCCCACAGCCTCAGTGATATGTGCTTGACTAAAGTATTGATTTGGAGTGATTTAGATGGAATCCCTTCAGACGAGGCCCGCTTCTCTAGCCTCTTGCATTCATGCTCTAGTCCTAATTCTAAACTCTTTAGACCCCGTTTCACCCTGTTATGGCCGACACAGCCTGTAGCCTGGAAGACTATGCTTAAGAACCGTAAGATTAGCATGTGGAAGGGGATTTAGACTCAGGCCATACTGGGGACGTTTATGGGCTCCGTGCTCACTCTAATTACTAAGGATACAACATGCAGAAAGGAGAGCAGACTCTGTACTTAAGGGTCCAGTTTAGTGTTGAGCGGAGGAGATACACAGAAATGGCTGTGACCTAATAACACACCCTCTATGGCTTACCAGAAGGCAGCAGTAAAGGGGAATTTCAGCCAACTGACACCAAATGAAACAGTCATCATGAGATATACAGACATGGTGTAGTAGGCTAGGGGAACAGAACAGTCACCTCCCTCCCAAACTGTCCAAACTGTCCAAAGAAGACAGATCCTTCTTTCTAAAATGTGTGAGCCAGAACTTAATGGGAAACCCTACAGCTGCCGTGGACCTGGACCGTGTGGACGCTATAGCCTTCCTGGCAAACACTTCTCTCTTCCAGGATTTCTTTCTCCTGAGGAGTTGGGGATGAGTCAGCCAGGCCTTCCCTAAGTCCATCAGGGTGGGCTAATGGACTAGGTCACCTGTCTGTACCCTGGTATCCGTTATGCTGGAGTTGCCGAGGCAGAGGGACAGGATCTCGTCACCTGTCTACATCCTGGTATCCATGATGCTGGAGTGACAGAGGCAGAGGGGCAGGGTCTCATCACCTGTCTACATCCTGATATCCATGATGCCAGAGTAGCAGAGGCAGAGGGTCTTAGCCTGACAGTTAATTTTACTTGGAGGCCTTTAACAATGCCACTACAAGTTTATTGTGGTTATTACTTTGTGTGTTTGTTTGAGAAAAGGTCTCACGTAGTCTCAGCTAATCTCAAACTGCTGACCCTCTGTCTCCATCTCCCAAATGCTAGGATTATAGGTGTACACTGCTATGCTCCGCTTGCTATAAAACATTTCAAAAGAGTTTTGTTGATTTTGCACACTATATAGCTACCCTACTAAGAGCATATAGTGCAATGGTTTCTAATAAAGTTACAGACTTGTGTGGCCATACCTAGCTAGTTAGGACCTTTTCAGTAATCATTCCCAATACACAAATTGAGTTTTCCCCAACTCAATTTTTTTTAAGTTTATTTTATGTGAATTGGTGTGAAGGTTACAGACAGTTGTTAGCTGTCATGTGGGTGCTGGGAATTGAACCCGGGTCCTCTGGAAGAACAGCCAGTGCTCTTAACCACTGAGCCATCTCTCCAGCCTCCCCAACTCAATTTGTCCCAGGCAACCAATCACTAAATTACTTTCTATCAATTGACTTACTTTGCGCATTTTGTGTAAATCGAATTCTTCAGCACATGATCTTTTGTGCTTTTGTTCTTAAACTCACAGTAGCATATGAATACTTCATGCCTATTTTGCCAAATAGCCTTCCACTCTGTGAATATACTTCTTTATTTATTCTGTAAGTTGATTGGCAAGTTGATTCTAATTACTGACTTTTAAGAATAAACAATGTTTCTAGAGGACAGTATACACAACCGTTTTTTTTAAAATATCTGCTTTTACTTGTTTTAGGAATACACCTAGGGTTTCTGAGTAATATGACCACTTTTTAGATAATGTTTTTGTGGGGCATCTAGGAAGAAACTGCTTCCTTTCACAGAGATGAAAGCATAGAAACTGATTCATCCCCAAGCCCACAGTGACTCTCAATATAATTCTGATATATTGTCAGTGTGGGCAAGAGTTTCTGTGCTGACTGGACTGGAAATAAAACGATCCCAGGACTGTACCTGAAGGAGAGACTCTTTTCAGAGCAGAACATTCTGGCTTTGCCGATTGTTCCTTTTGAGGCTCCATATTCTCTAGGCCTTACTTGTGGTCCCGAGTTACACCAAGCAATGCCTTTCCTAGGAGGTGGGTCAGCCTGGAATGAAGGACAATTGTCCAGCACTCATTGATGGCCACAAAGAGTTAAGTTGGGGGTGGGAAGATGGCTCAGTCAGTGAAGTAGTTGTCATGCAAACATGAGGACCAAACATGGGTCAGTTCCCCAGAACCCATGTAAAAAATCCAGGTGTGCTTGCAATCTCAGCACCGGGGAAGTGGAGACAGGGGGATACCTGGGGATCGCTGTGCAGTCAGCCTAGCTGAACTGGGGGACTCTTGGTTCAGTGAGAGACCCTGTCTCAAAAAATAAGTTGAAGAGAGACCAAGGAAGATACCGGATGTCTGTTCAGGTTCTCTAAAAGCACATTCACACACAATGCACGTGCAAGTGCACACACAGGAACACACAGACACATACACACACACACACACACACACACACACACACACACTTAACTTGATCTGAAAAACCCATCAGCGGACTGAGTGGAGCCACAGACGTGCATGCCCCACCCCCTTCTGAGGACGTGACATCTCTTCTTGTAAATGTCATCACTTTTCTTGGTGCTATCTGGTAAGGACTGAGTCATGAGGTGCTGACAAAACCCCAGTGTGCTTCACATGAAGCCCCGAGGCATTCTGCTCATTCCTGAGATACTGCACTGCCAGCCTGCTGTAAACAAGCTGCCGGGATGAGCTCCTGCCACTGTGACTTTCCTTGGCTTGTCTGAATGAAGCACAGACCCAGACAGTTTGCCTCTGGGGGGGAAGGGAGGGAATTTGGGGGGGGTGGTGGCTGCAAGGTGGTGATGCTTCGGTGGAATGGCCTCTGCTTTCATAGAGCTCTGTTCCAGAGTGACCTCATAGAAGAAGGTAAGACGCAGCATTTCCAAAAGGGGGCCCTGAACCAACTTCAATCTTTTTGTTTGCAGCCACGGCACAGGGTATGAGAGTGAGAACCACACAACCCCCATCCTCTGTGGTGCCCAGTATAGAATACACACCCATGGAGTCTTCCGAGGCATTCAGGTAGGATGCCCAACCAAAGGCCACTCTCCCTGCCTCCTCTTCTGCTCACCTGCCCTGCAGCCTCGGCAGATGGACCACCTGGCCCTGGCAAGTGTTTGCCATCAGAGATGCTCCTCTTCCACTGGGGGTACCAAGGGACTCCCTCCCTCTGCCCTTGCATGACTGCAACCAAGATACTTCCTGCAGACTTCCCTCCTTTCCTCCTTTATTATTCGTTCTGCTTCTCCACAGTGGGCGATGCATTTCTTGCATGTGGATCATTTGCCTTTGAATTAGTGACCAGGACCCTTGACTTTTAAGATTTGATCTGTGTTGTAAGGTGCTCAAAGATAGACTGCCTTCCAAGTGTTGACAATAGCATTACCAACAGTACCGCTTATGGCTGGGCATGTTCTATGAAGTGAGATTTAGACATTGACTTTATCTAGCTTCTAGGTTTGTACAACATATGCACAGGAATTGTAGTGCTCCAGTGTCCTCCTGCTACGACCTTCACAGAGGTTACCCTGGTAGGCTACACTTGTTACAGTGGGTGTAGGTGTGTTATTGGTAACTGAACTGTTTTGTTGTATAGTCCTATGGGTTTTGATATACACATAATGCCACTTATTATGTTATTATTATCATATGAAACAGTTTACTGTCTCAAAAATGCTCGAATTCCACCACTGTGTGCATTATGTCCTCTCCAGTCCCTCTCTCTCCCCAACCATCACTGCCCCTTTCTCAGAGTGTTGTATACTCCGTTGCATTTTCAGGCTAGCTTCTTTGACTTAGCAAGGTGATTTCAGATTCCCTTGCACATCCTTTGTTCTCTGATGTGGCCCCCGCTGCACTCCTAAGAGGTAGACAAATTATAGTTGGGGAAACTGAAGAGGGAAGACAAGGGGTTTGTCTAAAACCACATAGCTAGTAAGTGGGTGCTGAGATGTGTAATATACATTTTATTGGGGCTCCACAATATTTATTTTGCTTACTAATATTGTTTATTAGTGGAAATTAAATAGTATTGTTTATTAGAAGAAACAGGAGGGAAAAGACTTGGGGTGAGCAAAGAACCTCAGAGGATGTAGGTTATTCAGGGGAGATCCCACCCCCATCCCAGCTTCTTTTGGGTAGTTAGAGCCCTAATTATCAAGAATTCACATCTGTGATCTACAAACCTGACTAGGGACTGCCACAAGAGAAATAGCTAGTGTATCCTTCCAAGGGAAGTTAAAACCCTGAAAAGAAGCTGCAGGAGGGCCAGGCCCTGTGTGACATGGACAAGGAGCTCCACTTCATGGAAGCCAGTGTGCTCTGTCATCCCAGCCTTTCCACGGTGAGAAAGAAGAAGCCACAGAAAGGTGGGGTTGTCACAGAGTTTCATCTGAGCGTCTCGCAGTAGACATCATCGACATCCTTTGCCAGACCGCAGCCTGGCAGCACCAGCTGCTTTTCAGTCTAAGGCCTACATAGTCTTCGTTTAGGGTGAGAAGAGACGGAAGAGGTTAATGCGCCTTCCTTCCCTCCAGATTCAGTTATCAGAGCCACTGTCAATCAGGGCCTTTAGTAGACTCTGCTCCCTACAGATGTTATTTCCCTTCTAGATTACGCCAAACAAACCACAGCCTGCCATTTCCTTGTATACCACCACTTACTTGCCTACCCCGGGAGAAAGGCAAACGGTTGACATACTATGGCACGAGTGAATTAGGGACAAGAATGTGAGTGTGTGTGGATTAGAAGACACATGGGAGAGGAAGTTGTTGAGCTCAGAGCAGTGGTTCTCAATCTGTGGGGTGCGATTCCTTGAGGTAACCCATCAGGTGTTTACAAATGAATCATAACAGCAGCAAAATTATAGTTATGAAGTAGCAATGAAATAATTTTATAGTTGGGGGTAACCACAGCATGAGGAACTGTGTTTAAGGGTTGTAGCATTAGGAAGGTTGAGAACCTCTGGCTTAGTGGTTGTTGCAGCTCTTTATACCGTCACAGGGGTGCTCCCGCGCCAGCAGTCCATCTCGTTGGTCCTGATGGCACAGCTGAAATTGGACAAGGAAGAATCACTCCTGCTATCCAGGAATCGCTGAGCTCGAGGGCAAGAGAGGAGATTTGCCTCCCCAGCTAGAAGGCAGGGACCAGTCGGTGTTGTGGGAAGGACAGGCAAAGGGCACAGAAGGCAGATGGCTTCCGGTGCTTGCCTGTGTCACTGCTAAAGAACACGCTGATTGTGCTACAGTATTCTGATGGATTTAGAGGCCCCACACCCAGAGACTGGTGTATCATCTATTTACTTGTAGAGCTCCGGTCAGGTTGGGCCTCACTCAGTGTCTCCTGTCTTTCACTACTAAGAACTTTCTCATCCATTTTCTTACTGAGTCCATAACCACATGGCCGAGCCTGCAGCTGGGAGGACATACATGCAGTCTGGGACTCTGGGATTCTAGATCTCGCTGTCCCAAGTGAGAGCTGGATTGGGAGCTTTTCCAGACACTAATGTTTCTTCTCTAGAGGTCTGTACCAGGGACCCCAAAGAGGCTTTTCCAGACACTAATGTTTCTTCTCTAGAGGTCTGTACCAGGGACCCCAAAGAGACTTCATTTCAAATCCAAGTTCTGGTGCTAAGCAGTAATACCATCAGAACACTGCATCATAGAATTTCCTAATCTATCATCCACTAGTGATGTCTGCTGCAGGAACTACGGGATGGAGGCAAATGTTTTTTGGTCTCATATCATACCTACTTTCTCCTCCTGTGGTATATTTCAGTGCTCAGTTTCCTATGGCACTGGCATGAATGCTCACATGTGGTACGAGGTCTCCACATCTCTTATATTTCGCCTGCAGGACGTGCGACGTGTGTCTGGAGTGGCCCCAACTCTCGTCCGGTCAGCCTCTGAGACCAGTGAGAAACGTCCTTTCATGTGTGCTTACCCAGGCTGCAATAAGAGATATTTTAAGCTGTCCCACTTACAAATGCACAGCCGGAAGCACACTGGTAAGTGTGTCCACTGCCCAGACTCGAGCAGTGGTGGCGCACGAGCTCCCATCCTGGACTCTCACACTGTTAAGGACACAGGTGACTTGTGGGATGGAAGGCTGGCACCATCATAGGTCAGACCACAGCAACCGGCCAAGGCTGCAGGACTGTTTGCATGCTCGTTCCCACCATAGCAAGTAAGCCATCTTCAGGGAAGCAGAACAGGGTGGTGGAAAGCAGTCGCCATAGGAGAAAAGTGGCCCGTGGTTGAGCGTTGCATTCCCCCACCATCTGGTGAGACCTTGGGCCAATTGCTCAAGATCCTTTACTCCACGCACCTTGTAGGACAATGAAGCTGGTAGTGCCTACACTATACAGTTCTTAGGCCTAGAGGAAATGGGATCAAATTGTACTACAGGAATTGTAGCAGAGGCCTCTGTGTTTCTAGGCCTAAATAAAACAAAAAGGTAGTGTTCTGAGGGACTATTGGCATCTTTAGCAGGGGAGAGAAGCCAGGGATAGTACAATCAGATGGCCCAGAGATTGATGGACAGAGTTACTATAGACTCTGAAGGGGAGGTCCAAATACACACTTAGAGGTTCTAGAATTAATTCTGTGATATGAAGAAGGCCATTGAACCTCCAAGCAGGCTGTCCCACTGTCACCGTCACCTGACAAGCAGATTCGTTTGGCTCCCTGTTTGAGGGCACAGTTTATTACAGCAGGGACGGTACAGCGGTGGGAACATCTTTGGCTTTGATGATAGAAGAATGAGGCTGCTTGTTCACATCTCTGGACCAAGAAACAGAGGGAGACAGGACAGAGGAGCCAGAAGTGTACCAGGCTCTAAGTCTCAGGGGCCACACCCACTTTTTCCTGTAAGGCTTCTCTAGAGGTCCCACCATCTCTCAAAATGGCACTGTGAGCTTCGGACCAAGGGGCGAAATGCATGAGCCTGTGGGGGTATTTCATAAGATAGCATTGCAGAACGAGTGGCATTTGTGAGGGCTAACGCTTTGATGGGTAGGGATGGAGACATTAAGGTGAAGGGTGTTGAGTTAGGAGGGCTCAGGAGTGGTGAGCTCAGTTATAGGAGACACACAGAGAGGCCAGGGGAAGCATCAGTGGTCCTGAGCAGAAAAGGCAGCTTGGAGCTGTCTATCAAAGGATAGACTTTACTGACCTCTGAGTAGCTTGCTCTCTATCCCAGAATTCAGTGACTCAGAATTCCAGGAGGTGGGGACCCTTGCAAAAGCTCAATGCACTCCGGGGGGCTCTTCTCAGCATTTGGCTGAAGTTTTCCTTTGGCTACAGAGGTGTGGCCCTTCTTTCTGAGTCCAGGATTGCACAATCCTGCTGCTGACTCCTTTCAGATGAAAGAAGAACAATCTTGCTAAATGCTTCGGCTCTTGGCTTAATTGAGTTGTCTCACCACCATGGAGTCATTTATGTTGGACCCAAGAACAAGAAGTCAGAAACAGAGAACACCAGATATTCAGGCTGTAAAACATGGAACACTTAATTCATGAGGCCAGCCTCAAGGCTCATCTACCCCAAATTCTATCTTAACTTTTTTTTCTTTGTTTTTCTTTTCTGTTTTACTTCTTTAAATAGTCGCTGCTAATATATGTATTTTTTGAGCATTGCCTCCGTGCTAGGCACCAGTCTTCCGTCTCTGCATGGTCTGGTCTAATCTGTTCATGAACCCCTTGCAGTTGTCAGATTACTGGCTCCATTTCACAGTGAGGGGACTGTGCCACACCCAAAACCCTAAGTCCCGGAGCTTTCTTATTCTCTCCTCCTGGTGTCCATGGGCGTGTGTGTAGATGGGCTTTTTACCTTCCTGGAAGTCTACAGCACTACCCTAACGAGCTCTTTGGAAGCACTTGGGCATCTGGGGATCCCTTCATCTGCATTCAGGAGGGTTTGCCAGTGATGGGGTCGAATATCCAGCGTTGTACTCAGAAACAATATGTGTCTTCCCTAAGGTGAGAAACCATACCAGTGTGACTTCAAGGATTGTGAGAGAAGGTTTTCTCGCTCTGACCAGCTCAAAAGACACCAAAGGAGACACACAGGTTTGTGGGTTAACTTCTCATTGCCAGCAGCCGTTGAGTTAGAGCTGACTGTGGCCGTCTTCTCTTGAACACAGATGAGAGTGATTTATCTATCCATTTAATTCTTCCAACTTTCTTCCCCTCATCTGGAGATTTGTCTTTTAGAAAAGAGAGGGGCTGTGGAGATGGTGGCTTGGCAGTTAAAAACACTTATTCAAGAGGACTTGGGTTTAGTCCCCAGCATCCATATCAGGCAGTGTCTGTAACCACAGCTCCGGGGAATCTGATATTCTCTTCTGGCCTCCAAGGACACTACGATACATGACATACGCTCACACAGACACACACATCACATGAACAATAAAAAATAAGTCTTTCTTTACAAAGGAGAAAACAAAAAGAAAGGAAATGACTCACTTTTCTCATGAGAACACAGCACAAGGGAGATCCCACAGCAGGCTGGTGACCCACTGAGGTTCAGTTAGGAGCCAGGGCGATGGAGAGAAGCCAGTGTACAGTGATCCACTTTCCTCAGTCTGTGACACTTGCCTGCCTGGGAGAGCCCGATGTTTGTGGTTCCCAAGTAAGGAGCAGCAGCTGGAGGTTGCTGCACAGAACCAGGTGACTTCTGCTGGGCCTGGGGCTCAAGGAAATGTGAGGTCCAGGTAGACACAGACCTGGCCGATGGGATGGATATGCCAGGCTTCTCCAGCTGCCAGAAAGCCGGCCTTATGTGTGTCACTGTGCCTCGCATTGTTAGGGCCGAGGCTAGACCTTCTCTGTCCGTTTAGGTGTGAAACCATTCCAGTGTAAAACTTGTCAGCGCAAGTTTTCGCGGTCCGACCACCTGAAGACCCACACCAGGACTCATACAGGTAAAACAAGTGCGTAAACTTTTCTTCACATTTATTCTTCATTATTTTTTTTAAAGCTACTGTTGAGTAAAAGTGTAATGAGAGTCATGTAACAATTCTAGAGCTGAATGGCAGTGTCTAGCTACTACATGGTAAATGATGACCTTTTCCAGAGAAAGGGTGGGAGAGCGCTGAGTAGGAAAGAGTTGGGAAGAGAATGTCCAGGGGGTCAGAGCAAAGGCGGGGAGATACGTTGGTCCCCATCATGCCAATTTGCTGTATCACTCACTGATAGAACAGTCAACCCGCAGCATGATCAGAAATTCGAGATCCTCCGTTCTCCTGAGAGCTCACGTTTCACAGCCCTGATTAGAGCCCGCATTCTTCGCTTACTTAAAGTTCCATGAGAAGTCTAGGTTTTTGCTAGATTAACAGGAACTCGTGGATGTATTTCCTTTATACTAGCACAGAAAGGAGAATGGGCCATAGACATAGCCACTGGCTGCTGAAACACTGCATGGCCACAAGCTGCTGAGATTCCCAGTGACAATAGCTCCGCCCTTGTGACTCCTGTGCTTCCTTAGGAAGCAGAGCCATGTTATAGGTTAGCATATCATCTTTACAGCACCTTGGAGGAAGAGCAGGGTAGGCGCTTTTAGCCCTCATTTAACAGCTGAGTCTATGATGGATAGTGATGAAATGATTTGCCCAGAGCCACTAGCGACTGGATAGCAACGTCAGTGGTGACTGTTCTGCCCCACCTCATCCCTATTGTTCTTTCTCCTGGATAAAGAACACGTGTTCAAATAGTCATGCTCAAAAGCCAGGGAACTGAGGAGAGAGCGCCAGAATAGCCAAGCTGGTGTCACTGAGGGAACCAGTATGAGAAATAGTTAAAAAGTGCCCATGAGAAGGTGGGGGTGGCAGGCAGGAACCAGAGCAGGAAAAGCAGATGGGTGCTGAGTAGGAGGTCAGAGGCCTTGTAAGTTTCTGGAGGAGTTCCTGGTCCCCAACACAGACAGCTCATACCTTCAGATACGTTAAGATACCGTCAGAGCCCCTGGGCCCCCGTCTTGTTCTCCTTCTTTGGGTATTTTTGGCAAATTGTCTTTTAGTCCCGTGGTAATAGTCTGGAGATTGCCCCAGCACAACTCATTGCCTGCAAACCTGTGCCACTGACAAACTACTTGATGCCATATTTAATCAGTCACCCAGTCTGTCCCCCAAACACCACATCTCTTGGGACATTTCTCAGTGGGACTCTCAACACCCCAGGAAAATCCTCAGGTGGCACAGGGCTTAGCAAGCCCTGGGGTGGACAGGGGCAAGGCACAGGGATGAGTGTAGGCTTCAGGATTAGCTATGCCTGGGTTTGAACCCTGCCTGGATGTGTCCACAACAGCCATGCAACCTCATCGGTAGAGTGGAAGATAAAATTTCTTTGTGAGGCTGTTTTGAGAAGCATACAAGGCAATGAACATACATCTATAAGTGATGCTTGTATGTTAGGCATTACATAGATGCTATTATCTCTAATGAGAAAGGGAGCTCCTGAAATGGAACAGTCTTCACCATTTGAAGGAACCAATGTTGTTGCTAGACTCTCCCCTCTAACGCAGCTAGGTTCTGAGTCATCCTCTCTATTAAACATAATCAAATAGGATATAAATGGTGTCCATGCTTTATTTTAAATCATCTACATAGAGAGAGTAAAGCTTCAGTCCCAGATTGATTGACAGTGCTGACCAGCTGTCAATCAATAGTATCGAAGGTAGCAGTCCAGAGCAGCCATCAATCAACAGTATCCAGGGTTCAGACCCTTGAGGCTTAGGTCCCACCTAGACAGCAAAAGGAGAACATTTGCACAGGTCACAGAGTATCCTAAGAGATGAGACAGAGGTTTCCTAAGCCTCCTTAATGTATGAGTTGTTTTTCTCTCATTTGCCAAGTTTTCCGTTTTAATATGTTTATAGTGCTTCTGGTTTTCAAGCCCTGGAAAGGTTTTGCTAACCCCAGGCTGCCAGTGAGGAACCAGTTGGTTAGCTTAGGGAGTGACCCAGGGGAGTCCAGGGCGGGTATCTGGTGGTGATTTAGCTCCGGGGCCTTTGATAGTTGAACCTGCGCCCAGTCACTCTGCTGCAAGCGTCTCTAACTGGCAATTGTGTCAACAGGTGAAAAGCCCTTCAGCTGTCGGTGGCACAGTTGTCAGAAAAAGTTCGCGCGGTCAGACGAATTAGTCCGCCATCACAACATGCACCAGAGAAACATGACCAAACTCCAGCTGGCGCTTTGAGGGGTCCGACCGGGGGGACAGCTTGGCATCCCAGGCAGGACAGTGTGCAAACGGCTTCCAAACCCGATTTCGAAATTCCTCCCCACTCATCTACAGAGTGATTTGACTGTGGGTCGTCATCCAACTTCCAAGACTGCACACGTGTTTGGCTACACCCTATCAGGTCTGCTGGGAGGAGTCTGTGCTCCACCTCCTTTTGGCTAACTCACAGGCCTGGAAAAGTGGCTCGAGATGTCTTGCTGGTTGAAAGAGCATTGCCATTTCTGCCGAACTTTCCACTGTTAGAAGATACATTGTTGCTAATGTCCCCCTACCTCCCTCTTCTCCTTCATGGGCGTTCGTTCCATTTTCCATCATGGGATATTTATAGGCCAGGGCATGGTGTGTGTGTCTGCTAATGTAAACTTTGTCATGGTTCCCATTTACTAACAGCCCTAGAAAGAAATAAATCAGAGAGCAAAGCACCAGGGGCAAGTCCTGCCCAGAATTTCAGAGGTCAGGCTGCAAACCCGGAATCCTGGAAGGCAGGAATTCTTGTAAAGCTCATAGGTTTTAGGATTAGAATTAACCGGAACCTCTGCATAGAAACCTGAAGGAACCTTCCTGTTCAGCTAGTCATTGCTAACATTAGCACCGTGCTCTTAAGAAATAATGTTTAAAGAAATAATGTTTTAAAAAATGTTTTGATTTATTTTTTAGCTGTGATTAGGTACATCTTCAGAGATGTACTTTCCTTTTCATGCAAAGGAAATGGAAGAATTCATTTTCATCATCTGGGGTCTCTTTAGAATGTAAAGACCACACTGGCTATGTGGCTTCGAGTTGTAAAAATTAAAATGACTTTAAGAGAAACTAGGGGCTGGTCCAGGATCTTCACTGGTAAGACTGTTCTTAAGTAACTTAAGTATCTTTGACTCTGCAAGTATGTGGGGGAAACAAAAAGATATATTATTGTGAGGAAATCCATTGTTTAAAGGTGTGTGTGTGTTGTTGTTGTTTTTTAAAGGGAGGGAGTTTATTATTTACTGTTGCTTGAAATACTGTGTAAATATATATGTATATATGATGTGCTCTTTGTCAACTAAAATTAGGAGGTGTATGGATATTAGATTCATCACTGTGTGGATGTCAATCTTACAGTGTATTGATGATAATACTAAAAATGTAACCTGCATTTTTTTTCACTTGGCTGTCAATTAAAGTCTATTCAAAAAGAAAATGCAGGAGTCTGGTGGTTGTATTGTGTTTGAATCTCAAAGCCAGTTGAACATCTTTTAAATAGGTAATCATGCCATCAACATGGCGTGATCCATCCAGACCCCTGACCACAGCCAACTTCTTTCTGTTAGGCTTTGGGAATGACCTATCTTCAGAGTATCAGGGGGTCACCTTCGCCCTGCACCATGAAGAGATTGCCCTTGTGGGATGGTTGGGTGGCTTTCTCATGCTCTGGTGGGTACTGTGTTTCAAAGCTTATTTCAATCAAGTCCTCACTGCATCGTATCCAGACTAACAGAAGAGAATATCGAGGCTCCACTGATTTCTAGCCTTTCTGAAAAGCTCACTGATGCCTTCCCAGGATCAGGAGGGAAGAAAACACCTAACACAACTGAACTGACAGTGGAAGTTGCCATGATTCACCTGAGCAGGCGGGAAACCGCTTAGACTCCCCAGGGCAGCTGAGTGTGAAGGCAGAGCCACACTCTCTGTGACCTGGAAGCCCTCTTTGGTTCTGGTGGATGGCTTTCCATCGGTTAGCATGTGGATTTGTTCAGCCTCTCTCAGCTCCTTTATCTTAGAGCATGCATGCCTTCCAGGTTCCACTTCTTCCTTTAGAAGGATCTTGAGCACAAAGGAGCTTAGCTGCAGAGAGCCTCTGCTGCTCAAAGTCAGGACAGCCTAAAAGCAGGGTCTGGAGCCCCTCTTCTTCTGCATCTGGCTCTCGCATCATCGTTAACTTTAGCGAGTGCGGTGATTCATATGTATTAGTCGTTGTTATCTTTTCCTGCCAGAAGACAGCATCTCTCTGGAGAAGCTCAGGACAAGCACGGCAGACGTCAGTGAGTCAGAGAGCACATTTCACAGTAAAGGTTCAACCACATTGTTCCCACTGCTCAGGGCAGGCCAGAGATTCAATGACTACATAGCAATCTGGGTTTGATTACTATGCCTGCAAGTGTTGTTTTGTATTTTTATTTATGAAAAAGCAATAGCCCTTTCCTGACATGAGCCTGAGACAAATGGAAACACAATCTAGCATATAAAAAGGCTTACAAGGATTTCCCAGGACTCTGGCCCACGAACTCACCTGTTGGTTTCCTCTGTCTCCCGTTCTTTGCTTGCAGTGTCTGGGCATGCTCAGAGGTCAACCCTGCAGGATGACAAAATGTCCCTTCCCCTTACCTTGAACCACAGCGATGATTTGCGACAACTGGGCTTCTCGCCAGCAGCTCCACAAAGACCACAGCTGCTGGTTTTGTGTCCTTTGCAAAGCTGCCGCTGACACTGTGTTTCTGAGACCCGCGGTGGTGACATTCTGCAGGCTATCAGGAGGCAGCTGGCGGGTGCTGGGCAGTGGATGCTCCCTGTGGCCGGGTCTGGACGACGGTCAAAGTGCACATTTTTCCATCTTGTTTTCCTCTAGTGCCTGGCTCCACACGTCCAGCTCCCTCTGCCCTCTTGGCTGGATCCCCCAACACTATTCCAAGTGTTCCCAGCTTCCTCATCTCTGAATTCTTCAGCATTCAGAGTCTGTATCATTAACCAGCGGCTTGTGGCATTGTGATACTTTCCTATATTCTGTTTTGTGATCCAGTAAGGTAGACAGGAAACATGTCCCCATTTTATAGATGAAGACGTTGAGTCTCAGTGACCGTGCACAGCTGAGGAATGACTTCGTCTCGGCTGTCAATATCCATTTCCCACCAGAACATGCTGGTGATGATAACTCGCCTTCCGCCCCCCCCATTGTTTCGTGTCTTTGGCTGTATCTTCCCAATCAGGATGTGAACTTCTAAATGGGCGCTCTTCCCCTTCCCTGTATTACCCCTGGGATGGACTCCCAACTTTAATGTTCATAGAAACCCCCTAAAGAGTTTGCTGAGGTACAGGCTGTGTCGTAGAAGCTCCAGAAGACAGCCTGAGCGTCTGCATTCTGGCTATGTCCCAGATGGCCCCTACCATGGAGAGCCGTGGACAGCACATATGTAACGAGGACCGGAAAAGCAGGCTCCCGAAACATTTCTTGAAAGGGACTTAAACTTGACTGGCGAGACTTACACTTGGCAATACTAAGATGCCCTGAGCCATAATAACCCTTGAGAATGCTCACAGTAATGGCCCACAGTTCTGTTTTGGCAGTCCATGGGACTGAGGGTCAGAAGGACAGGAACTGTGCCTGGTAGCCCAGGAAACACCTTCCACAAGGAGGTTTCTTTTCAGACCATCTCATCTAGTTGCCAGTCCCAACGTCTTCCACATTCACCCAGAACTGGCATGTCAGGTCTGTCACAGGAATAGCCAGCTCCCTGGCACCAACCTCTGTATTGGTCACTTTTCTATTGCTGTGATAAAACATGTTGACCAAGGCAACTTATGAAAGAAAGCGTTGGGTGGACCGCTCCTGGCTCCAAGAAGGAAGCATGGTCCTGTCCGGCACCATGATAGACTGTGAGGAACAAGGAGACCCATACGCAGGCTGCCTCAGGCTCTGAGGAGGAAACATGGCTGGCTTGGTGCCTTGCGGTGCTGAGTAGATGGACGATGGACACTCTTATGGTGAACAAATGTATGGGGTAGCAAAGGAGAGAAAGACAGAATGGTCCGCGTCCTGTGGACGGGGCAGATCTGAAGAGGTGAAAGCGGCGAGGAGCGTGCTGAGGTGGGTGGCTTCATTGCCACACAGGGCCATGGTGGTGTATGGGTCTGGGCTGCTTCCGGGGCCCACGTCTGAGTTCATGGCCCTGCTGCAGTCATGGTCTGTGTTGATGTCCTGATACCACGAAAGGCTGAGAGGTTAGGACTATAGAGAGAGCTGTTTGGCACTTGCTGGCTGCAACACTAGGGAGAGTTGGTCCTGCCCCTCGCAGACTGAAGCACTCAGGAGAGAGGGTCCTACACCTCTGGGCAGCACGATAGAGCTGACCCTGTCCACAGGGGCATGGCCAAGCAGGTCCTGATGAGAATGAGATCAGGTCATGCCTCTCTCGTCAGCAGTGTGGTGGCACGGATGAGGGAAAGATGCCCTTCTTCCCTTGGCTCTGGACACCTGCAACACGCAGGGGACCTGACCCAACCCCTTACCAGATGCGGCACTCGGGAGAATGGGCTCTAAGCCTCGCCTGGCCAGCACAGTAGAGCTGACCCTGTAGACTGGGGAATTGATGAGCCAGCCCTGAGGGCATGAGAGGGCATGGTACCACCTCCCTTATCTGCGGAGTAGTGGTGGGGACAAGGGAAATATGCCCTCTCCTGTAACCCCTATTGCCTTCAGCTGGCGAGGGAACTAACCTTCCCCTTTACCAGCTACAAAATTTGGGAAAGTGGGCCTCGCACCTCATCTGTACAACACAGCAGAGCTGAACCTGTTGATGGGGTGAGGAATTGGGGATGTGGCGTATGGGGGTGGGTGGGGGTGGGGTGTGTATGCAGGTGAGCTGATTGGAGAGTGCGAGCATGGGAGATCTGGCCCAACTCCTCATCCTCCATACGGTGATGTGGGTGGAGGAGAGATACCCTCCCCTCCCCTTGCTGCTTGTCCCTGAGGTCATAAGAGGTCTCTGCCCCTCACCAGCTGAGGCACTTGGGAGAGTGGCCCCTGCACCTCACCTGGACAACACAGTAGAGCTGGCCCTGGTGGTGTAGGTGTGGGAGAGCTGACTCTGAGGATGTGAAACCAGGAGCACCGGCCCCGCCCTTGCTCATTGCTGCAAGGGCTGAACTAGCAGGGGCGATGCTGGAGAGTTCACCCCGGTGGTGAGGACTGGGGAGAACGGAAGGACTACCCAGGTCTAAAACCAGGGTTGTGAGTTGGCCTAACCTAATATTCACCCCATCTATGATCTCTGGGAGCACATGAAGAGGCTAGTCCTGCAGATCCAAAGGTGCAGGATCTCCATGACAACAGGGCAACAACAGGATATCCTAAAGGAGTCCCAGTGAGGGCCCAGCATCAATAGTGTAGCAGAAACCAGAGGCCTCCAACCAGAACGACTCATTGCAATGAACACTTACAATTAAAGATATAAGGACAAAAGGGGGGAAAGAGAAAGTGTTTAACTGGACCTACAGTCTTAGTTAGGGTTTCTATTGCTGCAATGAAACACCATTACCAAAAAACAATTTGAGAAGAAAAGGGTTTATTTGGCTTACACTTCCATCATCAAAGGAAGTCAGGACAGGAACTCAAACAGGGCAGGAACCTGAAGGCAGGAGCTGAAGCAGAGGCCGTAGAGGAGGGCTGCTTACTGGCTTGCTCTCTATAGCTTGCTAGCTCAGTTTTCTTTTTTTGTTTGTTTTTAATTTATTTATTATATATAATGTTTTGTCTGCATGTCTGCTTGCAGGTCAGAAGAGGGCACCAGATCTCATTACAGATGGTTGTGAGCCGACATGTGGTTGCTGGGAATTGAACTCAGGACCTCTGGAAGAGCAGGCAGTGCTCTTAAACACTGAACCATTTCTACAGCACCCCCCTACCCCATGTTTTTGTTCTTTTCAAGACATGGTTTCTCTGTGTAGACCCAGCTGTCCTGGAACTCACTTCGTAGATCAGGTTGACCCCAAACTCACAAAGATCTGCCTGCCTCTGCCTCCTGAGTGCTGGGATTATAGGCGTGTACCACCATTGCCCGGCCATCAGCCCACTTTCTTATAGAACCCAGGCTTACCAGCCCAGGGATGGTACCACCCACAATGGATAGAACCCTCCTCCATCAATAGTTAATTAAGAAAACACCTTACAGCGGGATCTCCTGGGGGCATTTTCTCAATTAAGGTTCTGTCATTCAGATAGCGTTAGCTTGTGTGTCAAGGTGACATAAGACTAGCCGGCACAAGGGCTTTCAAACAGGTCGTGGCTTTGCTTCTCTAGGAGCTTATTAGCCACGCCTTGTGTGATCACGACAAAGGTGAACTGGTGGACTGACCCCAGAGATGCAGCTACACAGCCCATGGCACCCAGGACACCCATCCTCTCTGCCAAAGATTTTCCCATGCCGG